CCGAATTCAAGAGTTGGATACTTAACTGACTGAGTCACCCAAGTGCCCCTATGCTTTTTAACTTTTTTTTTTTTATTTGACAGAGAGAGAGCCAGAGAGCACAAGCTCGGGGAATGGCAGAGAGGGAGAAGCAGGCTCCCCGCTGATCAGGGAGTCCTGTGATCCCAGAACCCCAGGATTATGACCTGAGTTGAAGGCAGATGCTTAACTGAGCCGCTTTTTAACTTTTTAAATAAGAATTATATTAGGAGGTGTTGCTCAAGAGGGTTTGGGATATTTGTCATAAGACTGAAGCCAAAGGAAGTTGGGAATAAATCCTTTTTTAGAGAACCATACTGTAGGTAACCATATCTCAAAATCTACTTTGAGTATTGATTTTAACAGCCAGCTCCTGTGTTCTCCAGGGATTTAGTATTAAGGGTTTGGGTTTGTTTTTTTCTTTTTCTTTTTTTTTAAGATTTTATATATTTACTTGACAGAGAGACACAGCAAGAGAGGGATCACAAGCAGGGGGAGTGGGAGAGGGAGAAGCAGGCTTCCCGCAGAGCAGGGAGCCCGACACGGGGCTCAATCCCAGGACCCTGGGATCATGACCTGAGCCGAAGGCAGATGCTTAATTACTGAGCCACCCAGGTGCCCCTATTTTTTTCTTTTTTTGTATGACAATGAGTTTTATGTAGAATTAGACCCTGTTTTCTTCCACATGATGTTTTAGTGTCTTTTTGCTTCCTGGTATTCTTTATCAAGGGTGGGGAAGGCGAGGTCTACTTTGCTTAAACCTGGGCAGCCTAAAGCCAGTCCAGTCTTTCAAAAGTCTGTTGATAAGAGATCGGGGAAAAGACTTTTATTGAAGCAATCAAGAGGATCCTTAGACAATAGCAGACCCTTCATTCCATCTCAGTTTTCTTATCTCTTTGATCTTAACCATTCTGGTTATCAGGGCAGGGCCCCTGGCTGGCTTAGTTGGTAGGGCATACAAATCTTAATCTCAGAGTCATGAGTTGGAGCCCCACATTGGACCTGGACCCTACTTTTTAAAAAAGAAAAAAGTACAACATAGTGATTTGACAATTGCATACATTATGAAATGCCTACCACTGTAAGTGTTGTTATCATGCATCACTTAACCATTCTGGTTATGGACATAGGTATCTCAGGAGGAATTATGTAAAGGGTTAAAGTGTGGAGAAAAGGACCATTGTCAACACGCTCTAAGGTACTTAGCCTGAAGATGATGAAAAGCAGGAAGATGCTCAGTATAATGTAGTTTATTATGCTGGCTTATTATATAGATGCTATAGATATATATTTATACATGTACTGATTTTTTTTTTTTTAAGATTTTATTTATTTGACAGAGAGAGACACAGCGAGAGAGGGAACACAAGCAGGGGGAGTGGGAGAGGGAGAAGCAGGCTTCCCGCCGACCAGGGAGCCCGATGCAGGGCTGGATCTCAGGACCCTGGGATCATGACCCAAGCCAAAGGCAGACCCTCAATGACTGAGCCACCCAGGCACCCCTGTACTGATTTTTTTTTAAATTTACCTTAACATTATGATATTTTGAAGAATAAATGCTCATTGTGAGCCCCCCCCCAAAAAAACATCGCTCTGGCTAAAACCCTGGTAGCCTATCCCAACAATTCTTATATTCAGGTCTCTAAAGATAATTATCTCCACTGTCAAGTATGTAGAATAAGTAGAAATCAAAGTTTACAAAATAATAGACATTTAGGCGGACTAGTATGGAGTGGTAGAAGGGACTTAAGCACTGAGGGTTATCATTCATCTTACTAGGGAGCCAAATCAAGGCTGGAAAGACCAAGCTCTTCTTTTTTTTTTTTTTATGTTTTATTTTTTTTTATTTATTTATTTTGAGAGAGAGAATGAGAGAGAGAGAGAGAGAGAGCACATGAGAGGGGGGAGGGTCAGAGGGAGAAGCAGACTCCCTGCTCAGCAGGGAGCCCCATGCGGGACTCGATCCGGGGACTCCAGGATCATGACCCGAGCCGAAGGCAGTCGCTTAACCAACTGAGCCACCCAGGCGCCCCAAGACCAAGCTCTTTTTACATGAATACAGGAGCATAGTGGCTATATTTGTCTTCTCTCTTTTTAATGTACTGCAGTGTCAAAATTCAGGTGAAAACCTAACTCATTTGGGATCTTGATATTCAGAACCCCAGTCAGTGCATTCTAAGAATGGAATTAGGATTGCGGAGATGTGTGCTTCAGAGAGTCTCCTAGGTCTGCATTTGGCCTCCAGCCTGATGTTTCATGTCTGTCTGTCTATAGTGCTTCCTTTTGTGGAGAAAAGGTTACTGTAGTCTGACTAGGATCATTACGTGTAAAGCTGCTCGCCTGTGTCCCCCCAGGTGTAATAATATATTTATACAAATTGCTCAGGGGTTAGTGATGAGTTTGCAGAAACAGGATCTTTAGATTATGAAATTCCACATACAGGTACGATATAGCAAAAGACAGGAAAAGGCAGGGGCATTTCAGCAATTCAAGGATGATTGTTGCATAAGAAAAATTTACTGTTTGAGGAATTGAGGTACCTAAGTTGGGGATATCTATATTTATTTGGGAGTGGTTAGTAATCTGTATTGAAGAGGATGGGAGATTTATTCTATAAAAAAACAGTCATCAGGGTGGTAGCTGGACCACCTCAAGGTAACAAGAAAGGCATCCAACCTTTCCCTCTATGGACAGATGTACAAAATGTGATATGCACATACAGTGGAATATTTTTTTAAGGATTTTATTTATTTTAAAGATTTGTATATTTATTTTAGAGCATGAGGGGGGCAGAGGGAGAGGGAGAGAGAATCTCAAGCAGACTCCCCACTGAACATGGAACCTGAGGTGGGGCTTGATCCCACAACCCGAGATCACCACCTGAGCTGAAACCAGAGTTGACTGCTTAACTGACTGTGCCACCCAGGCGCCCCGAGATTTTTTTAAATTTATTTATTTTTTTTTAAAAAAAATATTTATTTGACAGAGACAGTGAGAGAGGGAACACAAGCAGGGGGAGTGGGAGAGGGAGAAGCAGGCTTCCCAGTGAACATGGAGCCTGAGGTGGGGCTTGATCCCACAACCCGAGATCACCACCTGAGCTGAAACCAGAGTTGGCTGCTTAACTGACTGTGCCACCCAGGCGCCCCGAGATTTTTTTTATTTATTTATTTATTTATTTATTTGACAGAGAGGTAGGGGGGGAACACAAGCAGGGGGAGTGGGAGAGGGAGAAGCAGGCTTCCTGCTGAGCGGGGAGCCTGATGGGGGGCTTGATCCTAGGACCCTGGGATCATGACCTGAGCCGAAGGCATATACTTACTGAGCCACCCAGGAGCTCCAACAAAAAAGTTTAAAAAAAAAAACACAGGGTGCCTGGGTGGCTCAGTTGGTTAAGCGACTGCCTTCGGCTCAGGTCATGATCCTGGAGTCCCGGGATCGAGTCCCGCATCGGGCTCCCTGCTCGGCAGGGAGTCTGCTTCTCCCTCTGACCCTCCCCCCATCTCATGTGCTTTCTCTCTCTCAAATAAATAAATAAAATCTTTAAAAAAAAAACAAACACAGATAATTACAAAATGCACATTACTTTTTGTCTGATGTAATTATTTCTTTAAAGTTTATTTTTTATTTTTATTTTTTTAGAGAGAGAACATGTGAGTGGGTGGGGAGTGGAGAGAATCTGAAGTAGGCTCCACACTCAGTGGGGAGCCCAACATGGGGCTCAATCTCATGACCCTGAGATCATGACCTGAGTCACCTAGGCGCCCTTGTCTGATGTAATTATTAGCTGAGTTTATTCCAAGTTCCAAAAATGTAACTGATAGGCTCTAATCACTAAGCAACAAAATTTTGTTCTTTTAAGCTAATTCAGAAGGTTTTTATACACTTAAAGTAATTATGGAAGAAAAAAATCTGGCCTTCATTCTTCTCCAAATTAATGCTTCCTGACCTCCGTTTTGTAACATCCTAGGTATCTCCAGTTATCTCAAGGAATTTATAAAATCCTTAAGGCAAAATTAACTTTAATTTATTTAAACCGTTGAAGCACGTGCTATATTACAGTTGTTGCCACTTGCAGAAGAGTTGAGCTTATTACTCAGATCAAAATGACCTTTAAAGGGTGCTCATGAGTAGAGGGCTTTAAACAGATGTGACCCATTCACTTATTATGAGGATGCTCTGACCTGTTTTTACAGGTGGCTTATAGTGTAGAGAGTTATCACACTTTAAGCAAATCAATTATTTCAAATAATAATGCTTCAAAATAAATATTTAACTTCTGTAGGACTGAGAAGAATTCTAGGCAGTGTTTCCCGACAGTGATGAGTTTTATAACTTCCTAAATTAGAATTACATATATAGAGATTTAATAGTTACTCATTTTTTAGGTATTACTATATTATTTAATCTTTTTTCCTTCATAACTGTCATATTCTTTATAAAGTTAACACTCCCCTAGTCTTTTGATAACCAGAAGTGTGAACATTGTTCTTTTTACTTTTAACAAATTGTATCAGTTAGAAATATTTTATTATCCCTTGATATAAGTAATTGAACTTGTGTGGTACTTAAACATACATTCTCAAGTAAAAGATTTCTTTCTCCCCCAATGTTTTCTATGGGCAGTGTTATGTTGTAAGTTGCTCCCGCTTTTTGTGTTTGTTCAAAAGAACTTCTCCCTGGGCCGCCTGGGTGGCTCAGTTGTTAAGCGTCTGCCTTCGGCTCAGGTCATGATCCCAGGATCCTGGGATCGAGCCCCGCATTGGGTTCCCTGCTCTGCGGGAAGTCTGCTTCTCCCTTTCCCACTCCCCCTGCTTGTGTTCCCTCTTTCGCTGTGTCTCTCTCTGTCAAGTAAATAAATAAAATCTTAAAAAAAAAAAAAAACTTCTCCCTTTTCATGCATGTATTAACGTAGGCATTTATAGGTAAAAATCAAGAGAAACTACTTATCATATAATAAAGTTTGTCTCCTTCTCTTTTAGGATATTTTCTTTTCTGGATGTTGTTACTTTGTGTCGCTGTGCTCAGGTCTCCAGGGTAAGAATTGTTGATGATTATAGGGGTACCCCTTCCTGATGCTGATGATATCAGCCTCTGTATATAGTAGGCAAACCGTTTCCCTCAGATGTTAGTTGTATGTTATGTGTCAGAGGTTGGTATTTAATGCATGGCATTCCCAAACCCATGTAATTCTGCAGTAGGATTCTACACTATATACTGTCTCTAACTTTAATTTTTTGGAAATCTTAACTATTTATATAATGCAAACAGGAAACATTTTCCTTTTTTTTTAACAGGAAACATTTTCAAGGAAAAAGTATTAAACACGCAAATCAAAAAGTCAGGCTCTACGCAGAATTGTAATAAAATAGTGTTTCATTATGTTTTTCTAGTTCATTTTATATGCACACACACACACACACACACACACACACCCATGGAAGGCTCAAGGCTCTAATTCTCATGTTTTTTCCCCATATTGCTTTCCTCAAAATTTAGTACCTAGAATATAATTTATTTAAAAATTATAGGGCAAACCAGATTCCATTCTTAAAGTCAGTTTTTAATTTCACTTATCTATTTTTGTCAATTGATATTGTTGTGACAAAACTGAAATATCATAATCTTTTTGGCTGCCACTAATATAAAGAATAGATTCTGTGTTGTGGGAAAATTGCTTTCTTTTTTGTAATACAGATCTATAATGATTAACACATTAAATGGGCACATGCAATCATCACTTTTTTTAATAACTGGACAATGGCTTTTTGCTTGTTCGTTTAATAAACATTTATTGAGAAACTACTGTGTATGAGATACTGTCCTAAGTGCTGGATATGGAACAGGGTTATACCATATTGTGTTTATCTTTGTAGGTGTGCACAGGTTTTCAAATAACCAACACTACTCCCCTCAAAAAAACCCACAAAACTTGCCATAGAAAATTCACTGTGTCTTGCTAACTTTAAATATAATTTCTGCATCCCAAAAGCCATACTAAATTGGTGTATCGGCTACTTTGGAAACAGTCAGTAATATTTTGATGATTTTTCTTGATGACTTTTTTATCCCTTGTATTTGTGCTATGGAAATGGCTGGTACAAATGAATAGGGTTTCCTTAATATCTTCATATGGAGCTGAGGTCATCATTGAGAAACAAAATACCCAGACTCATGTCTAAACCTTTTTGTTAAGTTGCAGTCTCATCTCATGGGTGTTGATTTTAGTGAATTTTAATTGTTTTCATTTGCAGGTTCCTCTTCCCTATTAATGTTTTAACTTAAAAGAAAGGAAAGCACACCACCAGTTTTTGTTAAATCTGGAGAATTGGTACATTAGTACTTATGCGATGATTGTTCTCTGTACTTGAACTACTTAATGAATTAGGTTTTTTTCTTAAAAAAAAAGACTAGAAAGGAACCTGTGATTCCTAATTTTAGTCTCAGTTTGTTATGTTTTCTTCTTATTAGTGAAAGGAAGGAAATGAGAAATATCAAATCAAACCAGAAGTATATTTACCTAATAATCTAGTACACATATGATCTTTTAAAAGTTTTATCTTTTGTCTCCCATGGCTAGCCATTTAAGATGACATGAGACCACAAAAAGAAAAGCAACACTGAACTCCTGAGTAAACCTTAAAGATTTCCAAAGTAATAACTTTATTTATCCTCATACCTCTGACATATTTCTGGCTGATTGTGTGACACTTACCCTGGGGCTTGTAATCTCCTTTTTAGAATCTCAGTATTGACTCCATTTTGATGTGTTATAGTAAGAGATAATATTCTAAGTTTATAACTCAACAATTTTAAAACTTTTGTTTATACTTTAATAGGGGAAACTTTTAAAGGCTTTCTTATTAAAATATGATACACAACAAATTAAGTCTTATTGGAGTCATTTTTTCTAATCCTAAAAAGTCGAAATTCTTGCCTCTCTTTAGCTTAACTGAAGAAATGTATGAGAAGTGTTAAACGTTCACTGTTTTAAAATTTCCACTGACTCAAGTTAGAGGGAAAGATGACCAGTTGAAAAACATGCCTCAGTGAGTAAATTGCTAATGAGGAAAACAATAAGATTCTGTGATGTATATGGAGAAATGAGTGTCCTTTCTAAGTCCCACATTACTATATCAGTTTCAAGTCTGACCAAGTGATTAATTATGGATAGCAAATATGTATATTGAACATAGCCATATTCAGAGTACTTTACTCTTTCTTTGGTTTCACCTCATCTTGCTCCTAGTGGAGGGATGGAGTAAGAGACTTGTTTTTCATCAGCAGAAGTATCTCATTTGGAGATTAGAAACTAAATCTTCTGGTTAGAAAAGAGATTCTGGCTAATATACTTATCACAATCTGTCCTCTCCCAGCCCCCCTAGCTGCTAGTTTCTATATCCACTCATTTATGAGATAATCTAATTGGATAAAATATCAATCAGAAACAAGGCAGACCTTTTGGGAGTTAGTGGTGGTGGGCTGAGAAAATTTTTGGTCAATTTCAATCATTGGTTTGAATTGTGAACTTGAATATTGCTGGTTTTCCCCCTTGAGCTTCTGCTCATTTTGTCTCTTTTTCTTCAAAACAGGCCTGGAATGTTCTGGCTCTGGATGGCAGTAACTGGCAGCGAATTGACCTGTTTGATTTCCAGAGGGATATTGAGGTATAATTATGTGGTGTGTGGCCCCAGTTCTCATGTTAGAATGTAATTACAGCATGGAACAGATTAGCCCCAACCATATATATCTCCTTTCCCTGGAGAGAGAAACTATTAATTTCAGTGCATCTGAACTTCATGGGAGCCTGCAATGTTCCCAACAAGCTTGTTCAGATTTTGAGAATAAGCAGAGCTATTTTACTGATGGAATACTGAATTATTTAGTATTAATAGGACTAAAAATTTTTGTTTTTATTTTTGTGGTGGAAATGAACGTGTGTTTGCTTTTTTAAGGAAGTCTTTTTATATTTGCTTATTGAAGAATGAATAGAGTTAACAACTTGGAGGATGATATTTGTATAAATTCTAATTGAGATGAGCATTTGGTCTTTGGGGAGCCTAGAGACAGTTTTTGTGGAGAATGAAAAAAGAATGAAGCCAAAGTCATTTAATGAATTATTTTTGCTGGGGAGAAATTTTTTTTTCCCTTCAAACTTCTTCCTCATAGTTCATCTCTTAGTATATAGCCTGTTATCTCTAAAATAGAGAAGGATAATGGCTTAAGCTTAGATTATTTTAACATGAACCTGAATTCTGTGGTCCTTGGTTTTCTTGTCAGTAGAGTGGAAATAATAGCTTCCTCATCATATTATAAGATAAAATGAAATTTAGATTTAAAAAATTTTTAAGTTCTAGGGGAACTTGTCTTGAGGATCCATATAAGAAGTTTTTCAAAAGCCTCACATGAACTTTCCATTAGAAATGGAACTTTCCATTTCTACAGAAAGTACTTTTAAAATAATACCCACTGACATTATGCTGGACTCTTAGGTTTTTCACAGTTGTCTAATCTTCATGGATATAAATGTTTAAAGCAACATGACCCACAAAATCATTCAGCAAGCTTCTGTTAAGTGTTTGTTGAGTCTCCACTGTATTTAGAGTGCTATAGTAAACACTTTGGAAAGGATTCAGAAATAATAAAGGTAGCTAATGTCCTTCAGTAGCTGCAGTTTAACCCAGAGGTCAGTCTGTGTTAATATAGTGGCATAAGAAGTACAGAGCACCATTTCCTCAACTGCAGAGTGTCTCACAAACTGAACAAAATAAACAATACTGGGTGTAAACCTGTTTCAGGTAGATGAGTTGATCAGGAAAGATTTCTCAAAGTAAGTTGAAATTTCTTTATTAAGTTTTGAAAACAAGTAGAAGCCTCTTCTTTGTTTATAAATTATTTTAAAACAAGGATGTGTTCTCTTCAAAAACAATGTCGTACCTTATTGTTTTGTTTTGTTTCTATCTTTTTTTACAGGGCCGAGTAGTGGAGAATATTTCAAAAAGATGTGGGGGCTTTTTACGAAAGTTAAGTCTTCGTGGGTGTCTTGGAGTAGGAGACAATGCATTAAGGTAAGAACGTAACTATTGATTAATTGATCTTCTTGGCTGAAGTAAAGAACAGCACCATCTCACCCAGAAAAAGCTAAAATAATTTTTATATTCTTAAGCTCTTCAGAACCCAAACACACATACATTGCTTATAACACTGGGATGTATGGTTTTGGGATGTATGGTCTTGAGAATAAAACAGGAATAAGTACTCCCCACCAAAAGCCAGATTCCTCATATCATAAATGACTCTTTTGGAGCCTTGAGTAAATTTTAATTTGTTGACTCAAAGTTAGGGTAATTGTAACCTTGGTTGACACAAAGATCAATGTTTAAGAGTTCATGGTTGGGGCGCCTGGGTGGCTCAGTAGGTTGAGCGTCTGCCTTCAGCTCAGGTCATGATCCCAGGGTCCTGGGATTGAGTCCTGCATCGGGCTCCCTGCTCAGTGGGGAGCCTGCTTCTCCCTCTCCCTCTACCTTCTGCTCCCCCTCCTTGTGCTCGCTCACTCTCTGTCAAATAAATAAATAAAATCTTAAAAAAAAATTCGTGGTTGAAAATGAATTTATTTGTAAATGTGAGCTTGTTTTGTACAAACATCCAGTATTACTAATAATAATATCTTTTATTATTTTTTTGTAATGCCTAGAATTGTGCCCATTTCTTTTCAGACCTTTAACTTTGTTTCTTTCCTGTAAAGGACCTTTGCACAAAATTGTAGGAACATTGAAGTACTGAATCTAAACGGATGTACAAAGACAACAGATGCGTAAGTATTTTGTTTTAGAAGGGTAAGTCATAGCCCCTTGTGTCCTGCCTATACTAGCTTTAAATGTGGGTTATTAAATATATTTAGCAAATTTCATTGTAGTCTTACAGAGGAAAGATATTTTATTTTTTTTTTTTTAAGATTTTATTTATTTATTTGACAGAGAGAGACACAGCGAGAGAGGGAACACAAGCAGGGGGAGTGGGAGAGGGAGAAGCAAGCTTCCCGCTGAGCAGGGAGCCCGATGCGGGGCTCAGTCCCAGGATCCTGGGATCATGACCTGAGCCGAAGGCAGACACCCAACGACTGAGCCACCCAGGCGCCCCAGGAAAAATATTTTAAAAGGAGAAAACAACATTAAAATAGAAATGGCATAAGAAACTTATTTTGGAATCTGGCCCAAATTCTATCTTGATATTTAAAGTGAAACTTAAGGGACACCTGGGTGGCTCAGTCAGTTAAGTGGCTGCCCTTCCGCTCAGGTCATGATCTCTCAGGGTCCTGGGATCGAGTCCCTCATCGGGCTTCCTGCTCAGCAGGGAGCCTGCTTCTCCCTGTCTGCCATCCCTCCTGCTTGTGCTCTCTCTCTCTCTGTCAAATAAATAAATAAAATCTTTAAAAAAAAATAAAGTGAACCTTACAAATTATAGACCATGGGTATGCAGTAGGGATGTTAATAATATAAATTACTAGGACTACTTATATTTCAAGAAGATACTAGTAGCTTTCATTCAAAAGACATGGTAAATAGGGGCTCCTGGGTGGCTCAGTCATTTGGGCATCAACTTTGCCTCTGGTCTGATCTCAGGGTCCTGGGATCCAGGCGCCCCCTGCCCCGCCCCCAAGTCGTTGGGCTCTGTGCTCAGTGGGGAGTCTGCTTGTCCCTCTGCCCCTCCTCCCCGACCATGCTCTCTCTCTCTGTCTCAAATAAATAAATAAAATATTTTTAAAAACCCACAGTAAACAGATAATTCTATAAAATCTTAAGCACATAACTGAGCAACTTGTAATAATATTGAGAGCATTATTAAATGACCCTTTAAATGTACTGTGTCTGTCAGTTACAGTATAAATGAAATAAAGCAATCCTTCATCCTTGAGAGCTTATTATCACAGACATAATAGACGTGGAAGGTAGACATAAAAAACATTCAGCACGCCCCCAAAAAATTAGTTCCAGGGTATCTATTGGTAATAATTAATAATATGTATCAAATAACATTTACAATCACATAGGGAAATTGTTGCCTATTGTGAGGTGAAGTGAAGCCGATGAGGAAGCGTGTTTATACAGGGTGGGGCAAGGATTATTCAGTGAATGTTCCTGTTCAAAAAGGCTTCATGAAGGAGGTGGGATATTTAGAATTGTTTTTTGTTTTTTTTTTTAATTTTATTTATTTGACAGAGAGAGACACAGCGAGAGAGGGAACACAAGCAGGGGGAGTGGGAGAGGGAGAAGCAGGCTTCCCGCGGATGCGGGGCTGGATCCCAGGACCCCGGGATCATGACCTGAGCTGAAGGCAGATGCTTAATGACTGGGCCACCCAGGCGCCCCTAGAATTGTTTTAATGAAGGAAAGTGAAATACACTCCAGACACAGGATACAGTTTATTTCATTCCTTTCTTTGAGGTCACAATATTGTTAACTTTTAATATAAGACAGTGTCTGAAAAACAAGAACTACGGTTGTTAATTCTGCTATGGTAGAATTACAAGAATATTTGTAATAATAAACAAGTATTATTTCTGTGGATTGATTTGACCCTTTAACATGAGAAATAAATATAACCCCTCCCCTAACCATGACTTTATACCAGTAGCCTACATTTACTTTAGATAAGTTACCTGTTTATTTTTTTATTTTGAATACTTAATGTTACAGAGATTAAGAATTTTACCAGTTTGGTATCTAGAAAAGTGACATACAATTTATACTTTTTTCTAGGAATCTATCCTACATACCAAAGATAAACTGACAAAAAAATAGTAAAACTTATGCACAAGGCTATTCATTTTTACTATTTGTAATAACAAATACTGCCATATTTTCAATAGCGAAAGACGGGAAACAATCCAAATGTCATTCCGTAGAGGACTGTTAAAGGAGTGAGGAAATATATAGTATTCTGGAGTGATCTCCAGGACATACAGTTAAAAAAGCAAACTGCAAAAGAGTTTGTATAAGATACTTTTTTGTAGGATTCCAGCGTGGCTCAGTAGGTTAAGTATCTGCCTTTGGCTCAGGTCATGATCCCAGGGTCCTGGGATGAGTCCCGTATCAGGCTCCCTGCTCAGCGGGGAGTCTGCTTATCCTTTTCTCTCTGCTCCCCGCCCCCACTTGCGCACTCTCTCTCTCTGTCTCAGATAAGTAAATAAAATCTTTTTAATTTTTTTAAAGATTTTATTTATTTGACAGAGAGAGAGATAGCGAGAGAACACAAGCAGGGGGAGTGGGAGAGGGACAAGCAGGCTTCCCACCAAGCAGGGAGCCTGATGTGGGGCTCGATCCCAGGAACCTGAGATCATGACCTGAGTCGAAGGCAGACGCTTAACAACTGAGCCACCCAGGTGCCCCTGTAAATAAAATCTTTAAAAAAAAAAGATACTTTTTGTAGGGCCCTTTTAACATAAGCATGTTAACTTTATCACTCCTATAAAAAAAAAATCATCAAATCATCAAATAACCACTGGTTAGTTCAGATTTTTGCCTGTTCTAGTGACTTTAGAAACATAATATTTTAGGGGCATCTGGGTGGCTCAGTCGGTTAAGCATCTACCTTCGGCTCAGGTCATGATCCCAGCGTCCTGGGATTGAGTCCCGCATTGGGCTCTCTGCTTGGCAGGGAGCCTGCTTCTACCTCTGCTTGTGCATTCTCTCTCTCTCTCTTTTCTTGGACAAATAAATAAATAAAATCTTAAAAAAAAAAAGAAACATAGTATTTTAAGCGCAATATCAAAGCAAAAAGACAAACTTTAAAAAAGCAAAGAGGGAGGGGCGCCTGGGTGGCTCAGTTGGTTGGGCAACTGCCTTCGGCCCAGGTCGTGATCCTGGAGTCCTGGGATCAGGCCCCGCATCGGGCTCCCCGCTCGACGGGGAGCCTGCTTCTCCCTCTGACCCTCCCCTCTCTCATGCTCTCTCTCTCTCTCTCAAATAAATAAATAAATAAAATCTTTAAAAAAATAAATTAAAAAAAAATAAAAAAGCAAAGATGGAGACTTCTGCTTCTGCTGTGACAGTAACTACCCTCCTGCCATCAACAACTATAAAACTATACAAAACATAGCAAAGAACCAGTTTGAGATGTTGGACAATATGCAGCACAGGACGGAGAAACAAATCAGGTGAACCCTATGACTACCCTGGGCTTTCTGCGTGGTGGTATTTTCCAGATGATGGTATAAGGAGAAGGAACTCGAGCAGAGAACAAAGTTCTGGCTGATTTGAAGAGGAAGAGATCAGAGCTCAGGGAGACGAAAGTGGAATTTTTGTCTCGAGATGGAGGATCTACTCAAAAAGGGCTATAGAAATCTACATCGATTTGGCCGAATAGTAAAGTATAAATGCACATATTGAGACCCCACAAAGCCAGACAAAGAGCATCTAATAAGGAAAGAACAATTACTGGAAAACTGTAAACTGAAAAATTGCCAGAGCTTAAATAAGGCTGGGAAAAGTTCTGACTACCTCAAATGGAGGATACCTCGGGGCATTTAATAACAGACTTCAGAAAGGTCACATCTTGGTAGTAAAGCTAGACTAGGCCTGTCCCAGTAAAGGTTAAAAGAAGAAAATTTAGAATCAAATTGATCCATAAATAATTTAGCTATCTGCTAAGTTGAAATTCAACATTCTTTTTATTTTTTATTTTTTTTAAGATTTTGTTTATTTGACAGAGAGAGACACAGCGAGAGAGGGAACACAAGCAGGGGGAGTGGGAGAGGGAGAAGTAGGCTTTCCACGGAGCAGGGGCTTGATCCCAGGACCCTGGGATCATGACCTGAGCTGAAGGCAAATGCTTAATAACTGAGCCACCCAGGCGCCACCTCAACATTCTTTTTAAAGAAGGTGACAAAACCTAGACACTCAGCATACAGAATTTCCAGCATTCGGTGAAAATTACAAGACATGCAAAACATGAAATGATACCAGAATAGAAACAGACCCAGAAATGATAGAGATTAGAAAATTGACCAATAAAAAGTTGGGCGCCTGGGTGCCTCTGTTGGTTAAGCGACTGCCTTCGGCTCGGGTCATGATCCTGGAGTCCCTGGATCAAGTCCCGCATTGGGCTCCCTGCTCAGTGGGGAGTCTGCTTCTCCCTCTGACCCTCCCCCCCATGTGCTTTCTCTCTCTCTCATTCTCTCTCTCAAATAAATAAAATCTTTAAAAAAAAAAGTAAAAAGATGCTCAAGAATTTACAAGAAAACTTAATATGGATGTGGAAGTAAAAGGATGAGAAAGGCTATACTATCATAATCACTAATCACAGGAAACTTGGAGTGGTTATTAATATGAGATGATGTAAACTTCAGGAAAAAGTGTAGGTGGAAGATAATGAATAGTAAAGATAAGTAGACCAAACACCGGTAAAGCTCTAGAAGACTTGAGCAGCACTGTCAATGAATTTGTCCTAATATCATCCTTCAGAATAACATGGGTGAAAGAATAGATTACAAAGAAAACTAAAAAATATGTTTTGCTGTGTGATAATGAAAACACAACATTTGAAACTTGTGGACTGTACCAAAGGCAATACTTTAGAGAAGAATGTAGTTTCAAATGCTTACGTTAGAAAAGAAAGGTTTAAAATCAAGGATCTAGGGGCACCTGACTAGCTCAGTCTGTAGAGCATGTGACTCTTGACCTCCTGGTGGTGAGTTTGAGTCCCACGTTGGGCGTGGAGATTACTTAAAAAAGAAAAAAGATTAGGTTGAATATCAATAAAATAGGAAACAGAAAAACAGTAATGAAACCAAAAGCTGGTTTTTTGGGGTAAAAA